AACTTTAACGGTGTGAATATGAATCCATTATTTTGCAAATTCTTCTTACAGATATAAAATGTTTAATATTAGTGGAATATTTGTCCAGCATTTGTAACAGACCAGGATGCACTGATAACAATGTAACACTCTTTACAACATGAGTCTCCAAGTTCATTTTTATGTCTCTTCTTCCAGTACCCTCCATGAAAGTGCTATTACCCCCCAATACATACAGTTTAAGTACATTTACATTCATAGATAAATTAGTCAATTGCAGAAAGAAGTATAAGCTTTCAGTTTGTTTTTTTTAAATTACAAGTAAATCATGCACAAAAATTCCCGTTGTAAGTCAGAATTATTTTTGGATTCTGAAGTCATAACTCAGATGAATTACTAAACCAATAAATGTCCAATTTTCATATCCAGCCCAATGTGCAGATGTCGATATATGGCACTATGGATTGGGCTGTTAACTATGAATGATCCTCTTCATGCCACAATGTGTGTGCACCTGATTGCACTGTGTATTGTCTTCTCAAGAGTAATAAACATAAAAAGATGTATAATAAAAGCATGCTGAACTTTGTAACTATGGGAAAACCCCACATCTTGTTCTTGGGCCGCCCTCCTCCAGCTCCTCCTCTGAGTAAGAGCTGTAGTTCCCTGTTCCTCCTCCAGCATGCCTCATGAAGCCTGCAGAGCCTAAAGAACCTGCTCTCAGCACCTCTATCTCCTCTTTTTCATCTTCATCCTCCCCTTCTACCTCCTCTTCATCCTCTAGACTCGAGCAGTGTGAATCACTCTGAGGCTTGGCGTTGTGTATATCCATCCCAGTTCTTTCCGTGTCAGTCAGTGGGGACGTTGCGGTTGCTTGTTCCTTGGCTTTGCGACTTCTCTTCCACTTCATACGTCTGTTCTGGAACCAGATCTTAACCTGGGGAAAGACGACAGGAATCATGAGGGTTAAACTGTGTAAAAACATGTGAGGTTTCAAACTAAAATGTGTGTTCTCCTTCTCTTTAGGGGGTTTATTGCAGGGGAGGAGAAGAATTGCCAGTTGTAAGTAAAATGGGCCGGGATTTCACTGGGTTCATAATTACTTTATTTTCATTCTATTAAACAGATGTTTCACCAAAGTAATATAAAGTATTTTACCACTTTTCCCTTGTGGCCATGCAACAAATCACATCATAGCATCATATAGAATCTACAGTATGTTGTACAGTATGCTTTTAAAATCACCGCATTGTAGTATGTCATTCACTGACTCAAAATCATACAGCACACATTTAAAGAAGCCACATCCCATCAAATATAGTTTTAATAACTGTGTTTTAAAGGGAAATGTGTGAAGAGGAAGCTATGTATTGTAATAAATGTTATTAAACTATCAGCTGGTGAATAATTTCACACTGTTCTTTCCACTTGCCATGCTGCTGACTGCACATTTTGTAGCATTATGGTTTGACTAAATTAGCCTGCAAAACTTTCTATTATGATTATTTTTTCCCCCAATATCCATTTTGAGATAGAAATAAGCTTTTTTGAAGTGCCAACAGATGAAGTTTTAGACTTTTTAAGGCTGATAGAACTGATATACCGGGGTAATGCTGTAGCAGATAAGTGATTTCACTGTATTCTTTACATTTCAATACAGTAAAGAGGATCAGCATGAACCTGTGTATAACTTGACAGAGACTAGGAGGGGTTGGAGAATATACTAGATATATACTAGACTATAAGTAGAATTATGTACCATTTGTTACAGTAATTCAATAAAGCATCCTACAGGCTCTGACTCACCTGAGTCTCAGTCAGCATGAGCGAAGTGGCCACCTCAAAGCGTTTAGGCCTGGACAGGTATTTGTTGAGCTTGAACTGGTTTTCTAATTCCAGCAACTGCTGGCTGGTGAACGCTGTCCTGGGCCTCCGACACTTCCCGAACATACCTGCCTGGCCCGGGGCTGAGAGGAGAAAACAGACAGAGGCAGAGACCACCAGGAGGAGAGAGAGGGGTTATTATTTATAATTTGTACATATTTACATTTGTATCATTTTCATCTGTTTCTATAAAAGCAATACCCCTATTTCTTTGATTATGAATGGTGGACCTATAAGTGAAATAGGCCTACAGCAGCAAACGATAGAAAGAAAGAAAGAAAGAAA